TACCACAATTCTTATCAAAAACGTTGAAACTGGAGAAACTATTGAAGAAAAAATCATCCCTACTGAGCTGTTACAAGTTGGAGATATCGTCAAAGTCATTCCAGGAGATAAGATCCCTGCTGATGGAATTTTATTATCCGGAGAATCAACAATTGATGAATCCATGGTAACAGGAGAAGCATTTCCTGTAAAAAAACGCCAAAACGATTCAGTTATCGGTGGAACAGTTAACGGGTCAGGAAAATTTGAAATGAAAATTATGCGTGCGGGAAGTGATACAGCACTAGCACAAATCGTGAACCTTGTAAAAGAAGCACAAACTTCAAAAGCTCCCATACAAGAACTTGCAGATACTGTAGCAGGATATTTTGTTCCTGTAGTTGTAATGTTAGGAGTTCTTACATTTACCACTTGGATGATCCTTTCAAAAGTTTTAGATCCACCACCAGATATTTTTAAAGATGACAATAACCGTTTAGTAATCTGTTTTAAACTTAGCATTTCTGTAATCGTAGTCGCGTGTCCGTGCGCTTTGGGACTTAGCACACCAACGGCCGTAATGGTTGGAACCGGAGTTGGAGCTCAGAATGGAATATTAATTAAAGGTGGTAATTCACTCGAAGCCGGACATAAAGTTAATCAAGTAATCTTTGATAAAACCGGAACTTTGACCAAAGGTCAACTAGATGTAGCACATTTTGAGCTTTTAACTGATAACCTAGAAATAACAAAAGAAACATTCTTTGCCATTGTTGGTGCCGCAGAATCATGTAGCGAGCATCCTTATGGGAAGGCAATTGTAACTTACGGAAAACAACTTTTAGAAATAGATAATTATGATGCTGAAATCACCGATTTTGAAGCGATCTCTGGACAAGGTATAAAATGTAATGTTGTGCTAAATACTTCATACTCAGAGGTACCACCAATTACAAACATCACGAGTACTGTAGGCAAATCTTTTAAAGTCTTGGTCGGAAGCTCTAAATTAATTTCTGATGAAAATCATATATTGATTCCACCTTCGGCCATAAACATTGGAGAGGATCATGAATGTCGTGGGCAAACGGTTGTCTTTGTAGCGATCAATGGCGAGTTCACGGGGCTTATATGTCTTTCTGATATAATTAAACCAGAAGCAAAAATTGCTGTCGCTGCATTGCACAAAATGGGTATAGGTGTTACGATGGTCACAGGTGATCGGTTGTTAACAGCTCAAACAATAGCAGAACAGTGCGGCATTACTAAAATTCATGCTGGCGTATCCCCTAAAGGTAAAACGAACATTATTAAGTCCCTTCAACTGGAAGGGTCCGGTAATGTAGTTGCAATGGTTGGAGATGGAATAAATGATTCCCCTGCGTTAGCCGCAGCTGATGTAGGAATTGCACTTTGTTCAGGAACGGATATCGCGATCGAAGCTGCGGATATGGTTCTTATGAGGTTAGATCTTTTAGATGTTGTGGCTGCAATAGATTTATCGCGTACAATTTTCCGTAGAATTCGAATGAACTTCGTGTGGGCTTCTCTGTATAATGTCCTTGGAATTCCTATTGCTATGGGTATCTTTGTTCCGTGGGGATTATATTTACATCCAATGATGGCAGGGGCTGCTATGGTTTTTTCGAGTGTTAGTGTTGTATGTTCTAGTTTGATGCTCAGATGGTGGACTAAACCTATATGGGTAAACACTAGGAAGGGTGGCGTGAAAAAACTTAATGCTGTAGATCGATTTGTGAATAGAATGAAGAGCTTTTTTAGATCGAATGACACCACATTAAATGAATTTAGATATACGCGTTTGCCAGAAGCCAATTGATTTGTAGAAAAAGGTGTATGCTTTAGGTATAGCAAATGTTAACTTACAATTACTATTAATCACTCACGTGTATGTTTGACGAGATTATTATCAAAGTTACACTACAGAATGAAAAAAAAATAGAACTCTGGACACAATTATTGAGAAATACAGCGATCTTCAAATGGCGTAAATAGTCTTATTATGCGTTTCCTTTTCCGTTTTTTTTTTCAATCTTCAAATGGCGTCTTATCATGCGTTTCCTTTTCCGTTTTTTTTTTCAAGATTATAGATTAGATGTGTGATTAAACGACAATGGTCAGGATTTAAGATTATACTCATTTTGGAATTTGTCTCATGCAAATCAAACTATATTATTTATCAGGGAATCTGTAGACTTCAATGTTGTAATTCTCGTTCATTTTGAATGAAGAATGTTCTAATGAATGTGGACAATCTTAGCAAAAGTTTATTCTATTAAACAAATTCATCACGTCCTTTTTTTTATCATCTGTAATCAGTGTGAGACGTTGGCTGTGAACGGCAACTTGCTATAAGTGTGAAATAGAATATAGTCGATGTTAATTAGTAATTTTACTTATAAGATTAGCACTGTACTACTAATTTAAAGTAGAGATTAGTTAATCTACGTATTAAACTGCTGAAAAGATATCAGATTGGGCTTGATTTTGTACAATATGAGAATGACCTATATCGTATTACAAATATATTAGGTAGCCAATACAGTGAACTTTTCTATTTGCACTCTTTCGAGGTCATAAGACAAAAATTTCAAAAACATGTGTTTAGAAAGGGCGTACAGTACATCATGAAATCATTTTCTATAAGACTGTAAAATTTGGAACTAGATCAGAGCATGCATTTAGAGTAAACATAGAACTGTACCTGGAGAGAGCACATTTAGAAAGGGTTCACTGCATTTGGCTCATAAATCTATTCATCATCTGATTACTATATTAAACACGAAATATACCACAGTCGACCCACCGTACGTAAGTAAGAGCACCCTTTATATGTACTTCTTTCTATAAGTAGCCATTTTCTATAAATGCACAAGTGCACTTATGGAAGTAATATCCGGCCACATGTATACAAGCGGAAATTCCAGTGGGCATGGTAAGCAGTCAGTGATTTTCACTGATTAGTTATTAGATGCCTAAAATTTAAGCTAACCTTATAATTATTGGTCAAACCCATCTAGCAGTTAAATTATAAATACAACAAATTCGGGTATAATCATTGTTTCCCTAACTTTCTGCAGTTTATAATTCAGTCGATGAGTCATGGGTTTCTATTGTTAAGAAACTATTTGACAACTTTAGTTTCTTTATTAATCGAAACTAATGACATGCTAAAAGGAATTTTGGTT